TACTATTTATGTTTTTTTTTAAATTAAAAATTTTATATATGTACATATTATTTGAATGTCTGATGGATTTGAATGTCTCTCATGGAGATTCTCGTTACTTTAATAAATTAAAAAAATGTGTCACTCAATACTCTGTCAAACTGTAAAACAGAAATGCAGCAAATTATAGGGATGTCTAAAATAATTAATATACAGAAAAATAATTGTTGTCTGCAAAATATTCTAATAAATAATTAATTTTGCAAATAACAAACAAAATATAATATAAAATAATTTGCTCTCTCCATTCCTCTACTGTTCAATTCTTTCTACAGGCTTCCTCCTCCTCCTTTCCTAAAATTTGTTCGTTACGTTAGTACTATGTAATACATATGAAAAAAAGATAAATTAAAATGGCGTATACAAATTACTAGAGTAGAATAAATACACTGCAACTTCGCACGATATTCCCGACGTTAATTACACGCGACCGGCGTTTTATTATTGTACATTGCAAAATCTCTTGAAACGCGAACATGAAGATAATATAAGTAAAATAAGAAGCTATATAATTTGCTCAACACCTACAAATCGTGCATTAGTAAAAATGAATAAAATGTCAAACAGCGAATGGTTTCGACAAATTATGATGTGTATAAATACCGAATTTATGTCAAGCGTAGTTGACAAATATTAAAATGTAATCGTATTTATTAATTAAGTGTATTGCAAGAGTGTGCAATGATCGATTTGAAGTTGATTTTAATCAGTGGAAAATCACACACAAAATCTGATATATTCGATGCATATAAAATTTCAAGATTACATAATAAATTTATCTCTATTAATAAATCGCGTAAAATTATACTTGTTTGTGAAATAATAAGTTGCTAATAAATTAATAGTTGTTAATAGAAGTGAAGTCGTGAATTAGTTAATTGTGTGCACTGATAATTACTGTTGTTTGTAGATAAGAGACAATTACGTCGTGTCTCTAAGTATTTGACGCAATTGAATAAGTCCTATGATTGTATGATTTATATTTATGTTATTATCTGCTGCGCAAATAATAATTGTATATGGCATTTAATGCTCTTATATGTTATAATAAAGGCTATATGCAAACTAGTCTGGCTTCCTATAAAATATCGTATTTACAAAATAAATATATGCCGAATATATTCTATTTTACATGTTTCAAATTAAAATGTTTAGTACATTATTATATAATATAACTACTTGTTATTTGAATGGCATAATTTTCACAAAAATGTATTGTATTAATAAAAGATAATATATCACTCACCAACACAATATGTAGTGGAGATTACTTTGAAACTCTCAAGTCTTCGTTTCTTCTTAGATTCATTCATTGCACTCGTATAACATTTCCAATATTAGTTGCACGCGACGCACACTTTATCTCATATTACAACAGAATTTCATCAAAATGCAATCACAAAGATGATACAAAAAAGAAAAATGTATAAGAAACGAAACTTTGATGATCTGTTCAATATACATACATATGTATATCTAACAATTCTTGTATACCGTACTTCCAAAAGTAACAAATAAATCATGTGTAAATTAGCGAAATGAAAATTCAACGTAAAATACATTCGAATTTAAGTGTGGTTTTAAAAATTTATTATTCCTTACGTACACATTAAAAGAATATCTTATAATTCCTTTTCTTCATAGCTTTAATTCATAAGTAAAATGAATAAATAGTGCGAAATATTTGCTTCGATAAAAATAGTCATAAAATTTACAGATATCAAGGATATTAATTGATTGATAATTCAGTTAATTATTCCTAGAGAATAATTGCTTTGACTCCTCATATTCCACGCGATCGTGACGTTTTGATGCGTAATGCGTGTTGTTACGACACGCACTTTTGCCTGCTGGCTCGCAAACAATGTGCGACGACCTTATGTACGACATCGTATGTTATTAAAACAATATCAAGGTTAATCGACACATAGATATAGTTTTTTGTCACAATCAAAGATAAAAAATTATTTCTGCGGAGTAATTTGTGCCAATATTCAATTCTTTATTTATTACGTATTTTTAATCGGTTTTGATAAAAAAACTGTTATTGTACCTTATTGTATAGACTTGTTAGCATCTAAAATAATGATTAAATTAATTTGATAAACAGAAAATTTTAAACTAAATTATTTATTATTTAAATATTAATTAACGATGATGAGAATATTAACTACTGTGCATTATCTGACAAACCAGCGAGGAATATCATACGTGTACGATTTTTGTATAAACTTTGAAATATATTTATTTTTATTTTGATATATTTATACTCATTTCGATTAACTTTTACAAGGTCGAATTACTTGTAACTGAGCGATTCCTGTTCGTACAAGTTTCTTGGAGTCTTTCGGTAATTATATATTATACTGCATTTTATTATTTTCCAAAATAAAGTTTCAATATTTATTTTAAAAGATTGAAAGTATGTTGGTAAATTTTTAGAGATTTTTGTAACCATTTTGAATAGGTGAAAAAAACTGACGGATTCTAGTGATCCATATTTGGACAGATGAGGCACCAAATTGTACCTTGTACTGTAAGGGCTAAAATATTGTAAATGGAATTTAATAATTATGCCGCTGTAAAAGTTATTTTATTTACTTTAGTTAGTTTATTACTTTTTCCTTAAAAAAACATGATTTTTTACTCATTAAAATCTTTATTTTCGAGTGCAAATAATTCAACTTTTTTAAACTAACATCGCACACATTATATGTACTATTTTTTTCAAAGTACGTACCCTCAAGTATTATATAATACATACAGTTTAAAAGGATTTGTTCCATTTATTTACATAAAAGTTATGAATGTTTGATTGATAAAACGTTTTTTCAATATTCTTATTTCAATTTAAATCTGTAAAAAAATCAGTAAATTACAATCCAACTTCTAATAATAGTATAAAACTCGTTATTAAAGCTTTGATAAGTATATCAGAATTTTGCAGATATTTGTATAATTCAGAAAAAAATTTGCTCTGTTGCTTAAAGATCACTATTTCTGATAGCCAAAGTTAAAATTCCCTGTTATAGAAGGCAACATTATTGTAATTATTATTATTATTATTATTATTAATTTAAATGGATGATATAATTTAATTATTCTATTTAAGAATTAATATAAGTATTATTATAAAACTGGATTAAATTAAATCGTATTATGTTTTAAGTATGACTAATTCCAGTTGAGAGAGAGAAAGAGAGAGAGAGAGAGAGAGAGAGAGAGAGAGAGGGGGGGGAGAGAATTTTTCAGCAGAAATACAACATTATTCCAATATAATAATAAGTGCTTTAGGAATATTTAGAAATATCTTTTTTTTTTCTTTTCATTCCATTTGACTTTCTTTTACGCAGTTTTATCCAATGGAAGAAAATTCTCACTTTTGTTAAATATTTCTTAATGAAATTACATTAATAAATATCATGTTTTTGTCATCAGTAATCCGTACATGATCTCGACTTCGAGGTCAAAAAGTAAATTGAGGGTGCTTGCTCCGTCGCCCATTTCCAAATATTGTAATTCGAGATCCCCCTATTAAACACGCAGATGCATCGCACGCGTGATGGAGAGAAATAAAAATAAAACGGCGATGAACTAGACGACTAGAGGTAAAGAAAATTTCAACTAAGAAAAATATGTAAAGATAAAGATACAAGAAATAAACGATATAATCTATAAATTTTTCTGTAAGAAATAAAAAGAAATGTATAAAAATAAATCCAAAATTATTTTATCAAAAATTTTTGTAGAAATATGGATGTACTTACAATTAGATGTAAAAAAATTAATATGGAATTAATAAAATTGTAGATTTAGTCAAAATGACTATAAATTTAATCACATTATTAACAACAGCATTTAATATATCTCAAATCGCATTTTTATTGCTTTACTGTTAAATCTCTCTAATCGCAATTCATATTTTTACATTAAATTAGGGATGCACCGGATGGTAAGATTACTGGATACCGGATATCGGGTATCCAAACAGAATGTAACAACAAATATTCGGTAATCGATCGGATATTCGAGAAGACAGTTTCTTCGAGTCGAATATCAAACATTTTCCGGACCGGATTCCGAGAAAGTGTCTTTAAAAAAAAAGAGCCTATATAGAGAAAAAGATTGCGTAATTTTGCAACAATGTATAAAGTATATCATCTTAAATATGCATATTTATTTCTAGAATATTTATAAGAAAAAATCAACAATTTAATCATATCAAATTTCAACCGGATATATTCCCGGATATTAATGATATTCGGCTATCCGGTCAGATAGTAAAAAAGTGCAGGATAATACTGGATGCCGGATACTTTCTGGATACTTTCTGGATCCGGTACATCCCTACATTAAATAATTATCGATCTCTATATACACATATATACAGGTGTGTGTGTGTGTGTGTGTGTGTGTGTGTGTGTGTGTTCGTGTGCGTGTGTATGTGTTATACATGTGTATTATTAATTATTTTCCGTACGAGGAAAAATATTGTAGAACTGCAAACAGTGCTTCTACAGTTGTTATCAGAATCACCGTTTCAAAGCAAACACAAACGAGCGCGACTCTCATCGTCATTTTTCCGTTTCTCGCTGGCCAATACAAGTGACATTATAGCTCCTTTACGATCCTCCATGAAGCTATATTAATTGCTACGAAATCGTTGCTGTCATAAACACGAACTGATAAATCGCCGCTGAAGCGTTAATCGATAACGATGATAGCGCGCTAACACGACAAGAAAATGTGATAATGCGAGCAAAATGGAACAATGCAGAAAACGTTTCCTACGATATTATATGGAAATTACTGAAAATTGTTTCTGTATTACATCTAGTTTGTCACAATCAGAAACGCATTTTCTCTCCTCGGCTGCGCCAAATTGGCAAACGTAGCGCGAACGTAATTTTCTGCTGTGAAGTTCTTCGTCTTTCGCTTTCGTGTAAAGTTGAAATATTTACCTTATCGAGACGAGTATCATGGCAAATATCAGGTACTTTCCAAGCAGTGGCACAACTAGCGAAGTCGGTGGGATGATCTCAACGACCAGTAGAAAGAACACGTGCAGGCTGATGAGAATCGAGATGGAAAGCGTTACCTGAAATTGAAAGACATTTGTAAAGCAAGTTTCATTACATAAGGAATAAAGTGAAATATATTAAAAGTTTGTTCAAAATGATTGTGTTTATTATAATAGAAGGAAACTTACAAAATATCTAGAGCCATACATTTTGTTTCCTCCAGTAAATTACTTTGTACAATTATGATTTGTAATTTTATAGATTTGTATAGTTTATTATAAATCAAATGAATAAATTTTCTTATAACATGTAATGTTATTTATTTTCCTATCTGATTTGATAATTAATTTCTCGATTCAATATTATAATAATAGAATATAATATTATACTAAAGGAATTAATTTTGATTATCTTATAATTCATTATGTTTTATCAAGCATTAGAACAGATATAAAAATACAAAAATAAGAAAATTACTATATACTATTTCTGTCACATTATTTTAAGAGAAAATATATGAAATTTTCAAAAAATAGGTAGTTGTAGTCCAAAAACACGTGTTGCCTTTCTTTCAAAATATGTCCTTTGACAAGTAACAAATTTGAACCTATTCGAAGAGGCCAGGTAAAGAGCTGCGGATAGTCGAGCGGAAAATTTGCATTTATGATTCGCGCGTAAAGAATGTACGAAGCAAGAGTCAGAAGGATAAACGGGTCGGCCCCGTGAGATGAAAATTGTTCACTGACAGAATTTATATGTGTCCGTGATCCATTCGTTTTAATAAAACTTGTAAACGAAGCATCAGGCACGTACAGCTACGTCTGGAAGCAGTACTACTGTTGCCAAGTATGATAAAAATAAAAATGAAAAAGTACAATGGGATAAGCAGAAGCAAAATAAAATGAAATGTTTTATCTACTATTGTAATACTATTGCAATACTAAATAATTCATCTAATAAAAGTGTAACATAATATACAGCGCGATATTAAGAAATAATATTTTTCTCGATTAAGAAATTAAATATTATAATTAAAAAAAATTAGTATATTATAAACTAAATAAAAATTATCACATTTTAAGTTAAATTTATATGTTTAATTCATATAATATATTTATTTTTGATCGGTACACAGAAATCAAATACATATTAAAAACACATAAATATCATATATATAGTATATATAATATCATAAATTAAACAGATAAATTTAACTATATATGTAATGCTATAAACATATATTGTTCATATTTGTATCAATACTCTTTTATATTTTATAATGCTAAATACAATCTTGTGTTCAATTAGAATTACTATTAAAGAAATTATAATACAGTTAGTGTTTCCTTAAATAATAAGTACGGTTATTCACAATGCGAATATTTTATGAGCAAATGTTGCATTACATAACAAAATTATATAGCGTAACTAAATAATAAACATCAAAAATTTTGGGTGAAGGCTTTATCAGACATGTTACAGAAGCAGAAGTTAACTGGGTTAACGATTACTTTAAAAAAAGGAAGAAAAAGTTTTTTTGAATGAAACGTAGGTCTCCCCATCTAGGTTTTATTATACCCTTTTATGTCGGACATTATATAGGTTGAAGTACAACTTGTACAAAGTTATATACACTATTCGAACTGTAATAATTTTTCTATATTAAACGAATTTTTAAAGAAAGCACAGTAATAAAAAAGAGGAATAAAGAAATTTCCTATTTAAATAATCAATGTCATAAAAAATATTTAATACAAAAATTAATACGAGAAAATCTTAGTTAAGAATTTGTATATTACATTTTTCAAATATCCTATAATTATTATGCACTGTTAGAAATGTTTTTAAATTTAATTAACTTTTAAGTTACATCATTTGAACTTAATTTTATGACATTACATTAAATTTAATGTATTTATAATTAAGTATATTTGTGTACATGTACATAAAATTTAACGTATTTTTCATGAAAATTTATGAAATTTAATGTACCTTTCATAAAATTTTATTAAAAGTACATTAAATTTCATAAATTTAATGTACACGTTCATTTAAGTAACTACTGCAACTTAATTTTCAGTTAAATCATTCATTACTTTTAATTTCGTTCATAACCACGGGCTTACATGTAAAGGAAGCTTGGTTACATTTTTAACAGTGTAGATATTATTAGTTATAATATCTATATGATGTAATAAATACTCCAAAGTGCTTATGTAATGTAAAAACATCTTTGATAAGATAATTTTGTAATATTGTTAATGTAAACTATTTAAAAGAAATTGAGTATTTAAAAGATAAAAGATTTAAAAGAAAGTATTTAAAAGAAATTGAGAAATCGCTTTAAAAGATTTGAATTTAACTACGTTTGCTGCAAATTCAGAGGATTGAGCATGTTACGTTATATTTTCGTCTCGAAAAACAAATAAGAAGTGAGATTCTTTACGCGAATTTGCTGAAACCGTGATGACGTAACTTTTTCAGAATAAAAATTTGATTGAATAAAATCCACGTGAGATTTCAAACGATGAAAAGTGAAATAAATCCAAAAAATGTGCTGATTTTTTTATCGATCTTTTGATTCTGTATCTAATATCTGGAAAAAAAAAAAATTCACACATCACAATATAAAAAAATGACGATATATATTTTAACGATTTAAATTAGAATATAAAAGTTATGATTGAACTCGGCTCAGTCATGGGTTTAATTAAAGTTTTCGTCTCTGAAATCGGTATTTGCGAGGGAAAAAGTTTTAGAATGAAATCGATTTAATATCATATGTAGTACGTTGTTTGATTCCATCTCGCGATTTTTCATGAAACTGGAGATTATTTTATCTGTCAATAATATTTATTATAGAATCGTTTCGTACAAAATCCGGTGAGATAATTTCCAATAAATAGGTTCTGACGAAAGGTATTTGCAAATGTATATGTGGTTATCAGCTTATATTTCCTTTTTTAATTGGATGCACATGGCTTTTCAATAGCGCTTTGCGGCGTTTCGCGATGATTAATTTACAGTTCGACCTGTCGTTACATGAAACTGTCCATCAAAGCTGCGTCAGTGGCCAAATAGTATTCATATCACTTTTTAAAAAATTTTACAAATTGATATATTTCTTTTAGTCATCATTTGCAATTTTTAATTATTATATCTATTTTCATTAAAAATGTTATAGAATGACATTCTCTTATTTATTTAATTTTTTATTTTACTTTTTATTAAAATTTAATGTACGTATATGACATCTATTTTATTATTCGTATAATTCACAATTATGTTTATTATATGTCATATATGTATAATAATTTGCAGTTATTTTGGCATTTATAAATGTAAGAATCGTATAAAACAATTCGCTTGTATATTTCTTTTTAACAAATATTTTTAACAAATATTAACCTTTGATTTCTGATCAATAAATATATTGTGATATACCAGTGCAATCAACATACAGTTAAAAACTGTTTCTAATTATTATATTACAATTCTATTAGATGGTATTGACTTGAATATAAAACGGTTGTTCCTTTTAAGCTTGTTTTCCATTGATTACGTCAGAATTTGCCGCCCTAGCTGAATAATAAAAACCAGTTTACATTTTCCAGCGACTACGAATGTATAACACGCGATCATCGGTAGCTCTTATCGGGTACCAAGTCGGTAGCTCTTATTGCGAATTGAACGCAACGCTAGCGAGCGAGGCGAGTTTCAGTTTTACTGCGGTTTCACCGTTGCAATGGCATTTCATAGCGATTAATTTAAAGGATCGACCACCGGAGCGCGATAGCGTCTATCGGGTTGCTGCTCTGTCGTTCGCCCTGGCGGCTTTCATCGATGCATTCGGATCGATAGTGCACCCGGTTACTTTCCATTCGACCGCGCCTTTAATTATTGTCGCCCACTCTTCTTCTGGCAATCGCGTATCTTGGTGCTATTGTTTCTACCAAATGTTTGAGCAAACGTTTTCGCATCATTTTCGCATGATCCAATAATTATTATAAATTGCAAAATTAAATTTGTTCCAAATTCTATTTCATCAAATATTCTATTATTTATTTCTCATCAATTTTATATTCTCGCTTCCAAGAGACTTTTTATCTTATTATTCATTGTTCTAATTATTTGCCTCAAAAGTCTCAAAAACAGTTTTTAATCTTCTAAATTTTATACACACGTAAAATTACAAGTAAATTTATATAGAAAATGACAAGCTAATCATAGAATACTCAAAACATTCTGATGTATGGTCTGATAAAGGAATAATTTAGATGTTCTGTGAGCTTGTTGTTTTAAGCCACGTAATAGTAGAGACGTGAACTAATACTGTCTTGTAGCTTACGTTTGTCACAGCACGGTCTGTTCGCTATGGTATATACATGGCAGTTAAACAAGATCCGCGGATGCACGTTGATGCACGGTTAACGCGATATGTCGTGTTCGATCAGTTTAGCTTGGTCTTGTATAATGTGCGTGTGATACCGGAAGTGTAGGAACACCTCTGCGTACCGTCGATGATTAAAGATCGTTCATAATTTGTTTGTGGAAAATAATGCCATTTGTTGGTAAAATAAAATTTAATAGAACAAGTATTTTATTTGGAATTTTATTATTTACTCCTGTGATTATCGTGTTTCACCGTTAAAATACCTAATTAAATTAAAGGATAAAAATATTATTA